TTTGGCAAGAGTAATTTAGAAATCTTACTGCTTCATGAAAACGGTAATATTGGATACTTCCTGTTTACATTAGGTAGAAGAATGATTTGTTAAGCTACCAGTCTTAAAAACAGTGGCATTTCTGCAGTGAAATATCTTTAGACCTCTTTAGTATCTGGAAAGGTGCTTTACTTATAACACACTTATTAGTAGAGTGTTTGAGAGGTCAAGGAAATTGGAATAACGGGGAAAGGGGAAATAGGGCTGTAACTACTCTGCTTTAAAAACTAGGACTTTTTGTAAGAGTCATATGTAAAGTGAAAATTATATGACATTTGTAAGAAATTCTGGCAACTTTCTGTATCTTAAAGGAGAAATAATCTTCCTACAGAATAAGATGCCATGGTGTTTTGGTTTGAAAAATACAGTATGAAATTTGGGATCCAACTGAAGGTGAGTCAGATGAGGGTGAAGATCAATTTCGTAGTCATTGCTGAAAGAGTTAACATATTCCATCAAAGCCTTTGATGCACTAGGCACTAAGTGAACAGTAGAGACCTGGCCCTCATGGAGTTAATAGTTTAATGGGGGTGTAGGTGAGTACAGTGCTCTGTGATAAGTACAGTGATCGGGCCATGTGAGCTGCAGTGGTAGCTCAGAGGAGAGATACCTTATTCAGAAGTGAGATGATGTCTAAGCTGAGAACTAGGAGTTGTTGGCCAGGGAAATTAATGTGGGAGTGCTGGAGGGTGTGAGTAGATACGAAGGCCCCAAGGTGGAGAAGAACATAGCAGATTTGAAGACAGAAAGGGAAGCTCAGTATGGATTGGACAGCAGGTGATCACAAGTGAGGCTGTAAAGATAAGCATGGGCTGGATAATGCTGGGCCTTAGAGATCGTTTAAGAACTTTGGGCTCTGTCCTAAGAATAGTATGGCATCAGATTTTTGTTTTAGAGAGATTATTTTGGCCTAGGTTTGTAGAAGGTAGGAAGTAAGGCTGGAGTCAGGAAGACCACTTAGACAACTCTTACAATAGTTTACTCAGTATCCACATAACCAGCTAAATTAGAAATTGATTTATTTTGACCCTAAATATTGAAACACATTTCTCAAAAATAACATTTTATTATATAACCATAATCACATTCTTACATTATTACATCTAAATTAACAATTTCTTAATATCAAAAAACCCAGCCCATGTTAAAATTTTGCCTCTGTACCTAAAATGTATTAATTTACTAGAGCTGCCATAGCAAAATACAACAGACTTGGTGGCTTAAACAACCGAAATTTATTTTCTCGCAGTTCTGGAGTCTAGAAGTCCAAGATCAAGGTGTTGGCAGGTTTTATTTCTCCTGAGGATGCTCTCCTTGGCTTGTAAATGGCCACCTTTTCTCTTGAGACCTAGCATGGTCTTTCCTCTGTGCACATATATCCCTGCTGGCTTTGTGTGTCCAATTGTCTGCTTTTTTTCACTGTTTCCTATTTCCTGTATTTCCTGTAAGCTGAAAGCTAGATCTAAAGGTTTGTTTAAATTAAAACATTCTGGGCACCAGTATTTATAGTTGGTGCTGTGTATATCATAATGCATTATATCTGGGGACACAGATTTGATTGTCCTACTCTTAGTGGTGCTGAGATTGATCAGTGGGTAAGGTGGTGAGAAATCTAATCATTCTATTATAAAATTTATGTTTTCCTTTATAAGCAGCAAGTCATCTGTGGTACAGTACTTTGACTCTAAGTACCCTATAGTTTTAATAATTGTTATGTAGGGTAATGTGGTTGTCGGAATGCCATCAGTAAGTGTTATGAGTAGTGAACATTTGTCATTTATTTGCTTTCAGCATTTGAACCTTTTTCCTGCATTTGGCAAATTTCCCAATTTGTGAGTCAGTGCTTTCCTTTCACTAGAAAAGCTAAAAATGTTAGGTGCTTTATTCCCAGGCCCCTTTTTATCTCAGACATGGGTACATAAGCAGGTTCCATCAGTTAAATATACCTACCTCCAATTTTGGACCAGAAACTAGTTAAATGAAGAGGATGGTACTGCATAAACCCATTCTGGTGATGGGTGATAGCAGTAGCCATTCTCATTTAGTTTTAGAAGCAGTGGTTCTAAGTGTGGCATCCGTCCAGTGTCTGGACTGTTGGTTATGCAAGCTACGACATCTGTGCCCAGCAGCAATGGAGCAGCAAAGGTGTCATCACTGGACAGGTTGAGACATACTTTTAGGTTTATTCTTGGCCATGTGGCCTTTGTAAGTCTAGTTCCTTGCTTTTCTGGAAACAGCTTTTTAAAAAATTCCTTTGCTTAGGTAGCTATAATTTGTTTTTCTTCTTAATAACTAACAACTCCGAGAGAAACACTCTGAAGGAATAGTTTAGATCAGGGAGACCCAGTGTCTTCCTAAGTCCTCCTTAAATCTACAGTTACATTTGTCTACCCCTTCTTAGTTTTTAAAAATTATCTTACGTTTATATTCTTGTTTCTTATTCTTTGAGATGCAGTTTGTTATTGATTGTCAAGTTTTAGAAATACTCATTGCTTTTTTGGGGGGAGGCATTTTGAAGAGTTTATTTAATTAATTTATTTAAATCCTCACCCAAGGATATTTTTTCTGTTGCTTTTTCAGAGAGAGTGGAAGGGCGAGAGGAGGAGAGAGAGAGGGAGAGAGAAAGAAAAACCCATCAGTGTGAGAGAGACACATCACATCGGTTGGTTGCCTTCTGCAGTGCTCCTTTTGGGGCCGGGGAGGGAGCCTGCAACCGAGGTACATGCCCTTGGCCAGAATTGAATCCAGGATCCTTCAGTCCGAGGGTCGACAGTAACCACTGAGCAAACCGGCCAGGGCTTGAAGAGTTTATTAATAGCATCTATCTGAATTTTGGCCATGTACATTTGTTAAAATTTTGATTACAAAAACCCTTTTTCAGTCGCCAGTAACTTATGCCAATACATGGCCTTTGAAGTCTCCATCTTCCTCTCCAATCTTTTCACATTTCTTCTCTCCTCACATCTCATCCTTCCATCAGTTCTATAAATGTTGAAAAACTCTCATACCAGTTTTTCACTCTATTGGAAAACGTATTCTCTGCACCTGCTCCTTCCTTTTGACCTAGCTCATTCTTGCACACCTTGTACATCTTGGCTTAGACATTACTACTTGTTGGTAACTTCTCTTTCTTGACCGGTCAGACCAGGCTAAGGTCCTTGGTCACGTACTCTTATTACCGCTCCAGGATTTGCTTTGCAGCTCTGATGAGTTAGTTAGAACACTTTCTGTTATAAGTGGGAAAACCCAACTCAAAAAAGAAAAAAGAATTTAGTGTCCCCTATAATAGAAAAGTCCAAGTTTTGGGTCTGATTCGGATATGGCCACATTCAAAAACAAGTTTCCAGTGTGACTGCCTTTTGTTTTGTTGCCTTCATGCTCATATTTCACACGGCAGTCTTCAAGGGTTCTAGGTTTCCATCTGCTCTAGTTCAAATCTAGTGGTAATACAGCATGCCTTTCTACACACACACGCACACACACACACACACACAGAGTCATTATGACTCATTGATTGTAATAAATTTCACGTGCTCAACTCAAAATTAAGTGGTGGAATCGGATGCAGTGCTGTGGGAAGACCTACCTGAAAGTCTCATTTAAGACAATTGTAGGAAGAGCTGGGGAACTTGCATGCAAAGCAGGAAAATGAGTAGAAATTTCATTATTTGATTTGGGTATTTGGGTGCTCCTATAGCTGTTCCAGGGACAGTAACAGTAGGCTTAAGAACCAAAATGTTACTTAGAGAATCAACTCACTAAGTAAGGTAGAAAGTCTTCAGTAATTGTAGCAGTAAAAATGCCGAGAAGCAACAACAATAACAACACAGAAACTATAAAAACATGAAGGCTTTATATCCTAGCATGTCCTTTTGAGGAATGGGTCAGCAGTGCTAACTTAGGAGAGGCAAGCTGAAACCCTAGAACAAGGCTCTTATATACTTGAAGTCTGAAACATTGAGATAAAAACTTTTATTGAAAAATAAAAGCAAAATTTACCTTACATATCATATGAGTTCCAGTTTAACTTAATAAACTCTTCATGCAGTTTAGTTATTTTTTCCCTTATAGGCAAAAAAGAGCAAACTCAGTCTTTCCAGAAAAAAATAAAGAAGCCCAATAATTGAGTTTTTGAGAAAGTGGCTTATAGACAGCTGCAACTAAATGCAGACTTGGGGAGGATAAGATGATTCTTAGGAACGCTTTCTCTGTGAAACCTTTATGTACATTCTTAAATTCAAACTTGGTGACTGAAGTTAATCTTTCACAGAAATTCTATGATAACTATAAAAGAAAACATTAGTAAGCAAAAGCTCAAAAATACATTCAGTTCTTATAAAACCTTAAATATTTGTCACCTGTTAGTATTACCTTTGTAAATTAAAAAAGACAGTTTTCCTGAGACTGCTAATCATTTGCACATCATTGCCTATGGTAGCTGCATGAAAAAAGTGTCCTTGAAGAAGCATGCTTGTGTCTCACTAGCAAAATACATAAGAATTTGGTACTGCCCGGCCGGGGGTGGCCCAGCGGTTGAGTGTCGACCTAGGATCCAGGAGATCGAGGTTCACTTCCCGGTCAGGGCACATGCCTGGGTTGCGGGCTCGATCCCCGGTCGGGGGTGTGCAAGAGGCAGCCGATCAATGACTTTCTCATCATTGATGTTTCTATCTCTTTCTTCCTCTCCCTTTTTCTCTCTGAAATCAATAAATATATATTAAAAAAAAAAAAAAGAATTTGGTGCTCTCCATGCCCTGTGGCGTGGCTGTGTGTGGGAGGACGCTGTCCCTTCCTGGGGGGCAGCTGTGGGGATGACACAGTGCTGTGTGTGACAGCTGACTTCAGGTCACAATGGATAGCAAAAGCTTAAAGCAGGCCCTTGGGGGCTGCTGTTCAGATCGAGGAGGAGGTTCGGAGAGGATATGTGTTGGTCCCAATGTGGGACAGACATGGGTAGCAACATGACGCTATGGCAGGGCAGCTCCCAGAGCAGCCATGTGCAGCACATGTTCCGCAGCTCCATGGGGAAGCTGCAGCGGCAGCTGTGCAAGGGCACGTTTGCCATGTTCAAGCGCATTCCCATGTTTGAGAGTGACTTCATCCAGATCAGCAAAAGAGGAGACGTGATCGATGTGCACAGAAGAATGCAAATGGTCACTGTAGGCATCGCATACACCAGCTCTGACCTCATGATACCTGATGTCATGCTGCTGGCACGACCGGCTGACAGCTGTGCAGTCTCTGCCAAAGGTGACCGACATACTCAGGGGAAGGAACTCATGTCAGTGAAAAGCTTGGAGCTGACCAGGCTGCTTCCTTTGAAGTTTGTCAAGTTGTCCGTCTACAGTCATGAGAAAAAACAGCTCCACTTGAAGCTTGCCACTGGCCGCTCTTTTTACCTACAGTTATGCTCCCCTTCAGATGCAAAAGAAGATGTATTTGCACACTGGGAAGACCTGGTGTTCTTCCTGAGACCGCTAGGGGAGGCTTACAGTGGTACCTGTTCTATACCAGCTTGGGACATGGTAGACAATCCTATGTTGGAGGCAGAGGACAGGAAGAACCCAAGAGTAAGTTTTTGCAGTGACTTTCTGAGAGGGACCCACGTGCTTTGGGAGAGCAACTGAAGACTCTCAGGCTACTTCTCCTAGGCTGCCTGGGGAAACACTGAATGTGGAAGGGCTCAGTCCAGATGAGCAACTATGTGGAGGCCTTGCTGCATTTGGGAGGTCCCAAGTGCATCTGAACATATGAGATCCTTTAGATGTTAGCTCCTCTGATTCTATACCTGATGTTGTAATGCTGTCAGCAGCATCCTGACTGTCCAGTCTGTTCTGGAACACACACTGCTGTGGACTCAGGCAGTCTGATGTGCTGTGGGACATTTTTAACTATGAGAAAGCCCTTTCTTTCTTTGAGCCATGTACTGGTTTTTACATAAATTTGTGGCATTGCAGCATGCTTTGCACTCAGGTGTACAATTTGTTAGTAGCTCTCAGAATGTAAGATGGACATGGCTAAAATAATATTATATAATTATTTCAGTCTGGGTGAACATGCCTGGAATAATACTCTTCCCTGGTATATAAGTAGTATTTGTGAATATGATGGGATTTTACTTTATGATTTTGTAACTGTATATGGCAAAAGAGATTTTGCAAATGTAATTAAGCTCCCCAATCAGCTGACTGATTTAAGCAAAAGAAAGACTCTCTTGGGTGGGCATGAGAACCAACTAACCTGATGAGTTCTTTAAAATGACTTTTCAGAAGTCAAAGAAATTAGAAGTCAGGGAGACATTCTGCTGTCCTGAAAGGAAGCAAATTGCTCTGCTCTGGAGAGAGCCAGCAGCCTCTAGATGCAGAATGCCTCAGTCCTACTGGTACAAGGAACTAAATCCTGCCCCAAATTAGTAAGCTTACAATAAACTCTGGGCCTTAGATGAGATCGCAGCCCTGGCCGATACCCTGATTTCTGCCTAATGAGACTTAAAGCAGAGGATCCAGCTAATCTATACCTAGATACTTGACCCATAAAAACTGTGAGCTTATGATAAGTATTGTTTTAAGCCACTAAGTTTGTGGTAATTTGTTTTGCAACAATAGAAAACTAATACAAGAGATTATGTGAAAACCATGCTGAGCTAAATTTTATCTATATGTATAGATAAAATTATTTTAATACAAATGATACCCAAATTTATTGATTTTAGTTGGAGAAGGAAGTAAAAAGAGAACAGTTGTCCTATATATAAAAAAGCCCAATGTTGATTGTACTTCCTGAAATAATGATTAAGATTCAGTTAGCCACTGCAATATTTGTAAGTTGCTCTTTCTGAAAGAGAAATTGTTTGTTGCACAATGTCAGCGTCAAAAGGTAGTTTCTATGATTTTCCAGGGAAAAATATATGGTAAGAACTTATTTGCAGCTGTTATGAGGAAGGGAATTTACAAAGCATTTAGCTATTTTGCTACTGCTTTATTGTTTAGGACATCATGGGGAAAGGATATAAAATGGGAGTGTTTTCATTCTGTTTATGATCTTCTTCTTGTATGGAAGGGAGATGTCATCAATGTGTCTTCTTATAGTTAAATCTTAGAAGCTTTATGGAAAATCAAAGAACAGTAAAAACATGGTAGTTTTACTTGAGAATGTTTATCTTAGCTCTACTTTTCAGGTTGTATACACATATATGGACGTAAAATAACCTACGGCGGGACTGAATTGTCTCACTTCATTAAAATGGTAGCACTCCTGGGAAAAAAGATGTCTGTGCACACAATCAGCATCATGATTTGCATCCATTTATTTAATTTCCCATTCTGGTCAAATTTTTATTTAAATGTCAAAGAAATATAAATCACTAGGAAACATTTGTGTTTTCACTTTAGGGCTGTAAAAGTTAACATCCACAGGAGAGAAAACTTGAAAAATTTCAGGGTATAATAGCAGAGGAAGAATTGAGGGATGGAGGGAAACATTGATTTGAATCTTGCTTTGTGAAAAATAAACATTACTGGGTATATACAGATAGGATTTCCAAATATTCTTACTATCAGATAAAATTTTGGACTGCAGAGATATCCCATAGGCTAGTCAGCTTGGGGCAAATCTCAATACCGGGAATAATCTTAAGAAATAAAATGAAAGCTTGTTTGTGGAAATCCAGCTTACACTTGCTTAAGACAGATTTCTAAGTAAAGTGGCACTTCATAACACAGGTCCAGAGAGGGTGCCTGCTGCAGAGGGGTTGAGTCATAGATAAATTTAGGCTATCCCAACAGAGTAGCAAATTTTCTGGTCACAAAAACACTTATTAAAACAAATAATAAACAAACAAATATTAACAAATGTAGCCCTAAAATCGAGTAAAAGAATAATTGAAAATGACCACTTATGATTTATTCTCACAATACATGAATATTTACAGAGTATAAGTCCCCAACACAATTTATTTCACCATTGGCAATACTGTAACAAGTAAAACTGAAATACCTACCCTTGGCAGCTGTTATATGTGGTTTCATGTCTTCACCTCCAAAATAAGGCAGAAATTGCAGAAAAACCTAACTGGCCTCATTGTCAGTGCTCTAAATTCATATACTTGACCATGGTACCAAGTAAACAGTGAAAATATAAGTGAAATATTTATTTTGGGTGTTAAGGTGAAAAAAAAGTGTTGATAAAATTGTTGCAATTCTCTTAGAAAGATAAACATTATACTTGATAATGGAGTCTTTAAAATACTTTTTTATGAAAAGTCTTGGTCTCTGACATATCTCCCCGGGAGGAGTTGGCACCTCCTAGAAGGCCCTCGGGTCCTTGGGCAGCATGGCCAATGTAATTTTCAATTTAAAACTATATGGTTACAAAATTCTAACACTCATGAAAGGAGAGGAACAGGGGCATGATTAATGCCAGAGAGGCAATCCACAAATGTCCAATTAAATTTGAGTTTTTATTTAACTTGATTTGTTGCAAATCTAGAATATACTTTCTTTGCCATAGTAATATTGACCAAAAATCATCAATCACATTTTATAAGAGAGAGCATTTAAATTATGTAAAAGTTATATTTGAAAAGGCACAGCCATGACCAGGTGGCTCAGTTGGTTGGAGTGTCGTCCCCTACATTAAAAGGTGGCAGGTTCAGTTCCAGTCAGGGCACATACCTAGGTTTCGGGTTTGATCCCCAGTTGGGGCGTGTATAGGAGGCAACTGATTGATGTTTCTTCTCACATCGATGTTTCTCTCTCTCTCCCCCCCTTCCTCTCTCTCTAAAAAGAAAAAAATTAATAAACTATCTCCTCTGGTGAGGGTAAGAAAAAAAGTACAGATAACATTATGGTCATTACCAGAGTAAAGGGGGTGGGCGGGTAGTAAGTGGTAAAGGGGACCAAATATATGGTGACAGAAGATGATTTGACTTTGAGTGGAGGGAACACAAGGCAATTTCTTTGTTTCATAGAAATGTACACTTGAAACCTCTATGATCCTATTGACCAATGCCACCCCTATAAATAAATAAAAATTAAGTTATTGCCACAGGGAAAAAAAGAGCAAGGAAAATCAATTAAGTGAGTATTTAATCAGCTCAAGAATTTTAAATTAACATACTAAGCCAACTAAGGAAATGAATGGGAAGGAAAAATTATAGTGGAGACCAGACTTAGATGGTAATTTTAATAAAAACAATACAACACAAAAATTCACTCAAATACCATAATTGACTCACATACCAAAATTGATTTAAAATTAAGGAAATAATCAGAGATTTAAAAAAATTATCAATTTTATGTTAAAAGAGATAGCCAACACAGTTCTGCAGGTAAGATCATTAAAACCTTCAAGTAGATCATTTCAAAGCATTTCTATTAGAAAGAGAAAACAATATGATTATAGATATAAAATCCTACAGTGAAACAAAATTCCCAAATTTCGTGTCAGTGCCACAAATTCATTTACATTTGGTATGTAAACACCCCTACTCATGCATATTGGTTTCAGATGGTGTTTGCTGGAGTTGTAAGTTTTTTCTCTTTACACTGCGATTAGGAAGAATTGAAGTGTCCTCTGCAATTGCTGGACCCAGCCCTGGAGTGCCTGGTCTAGGCTCCTCCTAGACTGAGAGCCGGGAAAAGACATAATATCTGGCTTTTTGAGAGCAGCCACTACTAGAGCCCCTAATCCTGGCCATTTTACCTCGATGCAAAAGTCCTCACACCTTATACATGCTAGACAGACATAAGCAGAGCAAGGACGATGGTCCAGGTATAGAAACTCACCTGGGTAGAAAGCCCTGGATGCCTAGCAAGGGGCAAAACTGGGAAAACAAGAACCCTGTCCCCAAGGTAACCCTTCCTCCCCTAGAATATTGCTGGTCATGTGGTTTAGATCCCCTGAACATTTCCTCCCATCTAGGCCTCAGTTGTATTTCAGCTCCAGGCCCAGAAAAGCAGCAAAACCAGACAAGTGATGCAGTGGATACCTTAGGACCAGCTACATTGACTAATGAACCCCCTGCCATGGCACTTGCCAATCACTTGTTGACCAATCAGTGGAGACCATGCCCTGAAAGAGCTGATGAATATTCTATTAAGACCCTCTCCTGAGACCTCCCTTAAGATTTCCCCCGTAAGAGAGAGATAAATATGCTCAGGACACAGGACCCAGTGTACGCACCCCTCTCCCCTCAAGGGGAGCACGTCAGCACCATTCCCTTCCCCTTTCTTCTCCCTGAAGGGACCCCTGTGAGACTTGCAAGCAGAGGAGCAGTAGGCAGCACCAGATTGTCCTGGGCTTACCCTCTGAACCTGTCTCCAAGTTCCCCTTTTCTCTGATTTCTCAGTGAGCCAAAGCAGTCCATTATTTTTTGAAATAAGGGATTTAAAAAAAAATCCTTTTTTTCTGGACTCCTCTATGCTTTCACAAATATGGTCTTGCTAAAGAGGTCATGCAAGTCAGCTTTAAGACTCAAAGCAGAAAGTGGGGGGATGGGGACATCTATAATAGTGTCAACAATAAAAAAAAGTTAAAAAAAGACTCAAAGCAGGGTCAGTGTCCTCTTCTAGGAAATCAGTAAAGATTTAAGGATGCATAGATTTTTCTGTGAAGATTAGCTGATAATAAGCAGGCCAAGTCCTTAGCGCTGTGCTCACTGTATAGTGATCATTCAGTGCTTGTTGGCTGCTGTGATTGTTGTGATGATTCCAACGACATCAAAGGGGAACTTCCCAATCACTTGTTAAAAATCAGTTTCTCTGTTCAGGGAATACCTTTAAATATTATACCGGATCTCGGCTTTCTCAGAAAGGTTTTGTGTAATCTTTTCTCTCAGACCTTCCCTTTCTCTTCTCTATAAAATCTCTCTGGATTTCAGTGAATTCCTCTGCACATATCTTGTACACGTCCTCCTGGGTCCTCTCTCTTCATCCATGCCCTGCATTTCCCCTGTGCTTGTTTCCTTGTATATTCCCTCTGCATATGTATATTCCTTGTGCATACTTGTCCTCTTTGTAAGCACTCTCCTAACCTGAACCACAGAAGCTGAACTGGAGATAGAAGATGAAGAGTCCGCACTCAAGGAAGATAAATCATTTAGAGATGTTAATCGGGAGAGCAGTTCAGATAAAGTGCATTGGCAATTCAAGCAGGAAGAAATCATTTGTAGCAGGGGATGATGAAAGAGGTAGTTGTTGAGCTGAGTTTTGAAGGATTGTAACATCTAGATATGGCCAGGTGAGAGAGGAAGGGTGCTTTATTATTTTTTCTTCAAAAGAAACATTTTAGAATGAAACAAAAGCAGCTCAACTGTGAGTGCATGTTTAAGTAACAGCTACTTTTAAGCTGTGTGAG